GATTTAAGTATAAAATAATAAAAAAAATCTAAGAAAACATCTAAATAGAAATAAATAAAGCAAAATATTTTATAACAAAAATCGAAATCTTCATAATCAAAAATGAACGAATTGAAAGCTTAACATGGAACTTGGAAAGGACAAGTTGTCTGTTCTTGAATTCAGAACGCCATGAATTTTACTAACGTTGTTATAATGAGTCATATGCACGTGGAACCTGATTAACCAACACAAAATAAAATACCAGAAATTCTTTCCTTTTTTTTTCTCCACATCTCATTCTCTAATGAAGCTTTAATAAAAGGGAAACATGTTGGATTGAAAAAAGTTTCTTATCTATTCTTTATCTTATTATGTCGGATCAATCCATATCAAACCTAATTTATTATATATATATATATATATATATATATATATATATATATATATATTTTGTAACCTAGGGAAGGTTACTAAATAGAAAAATCAAACTACTGTTTTGGTATTGATAATACTTACGACAAGAACAACACATATAAGATTCGCCAGCAGCGCGTAGAAGTTATCAATTGCTAGAAGTGAATAAAGTGAATTCCACAATGAATCTCCAACTGCAGGATATCTACCAACCACCCTAAGCGGTCGTATGTGGCACAAAGCCGAATTTAATGTAGGGTATCCGAGCCCTTAAACTTGGCAAAAATTCCCCGTACACGCCGTATGAAATAAGGTTGGGTAGCTGTTTACCGAGACGAGACTCTGCTCTTCGACATAGACTCGTTGTAGGTCCTCTCTGCCTCCGGGCAGAGAGTTTGACCAGCACAGCTGGAGACGAATCTACCAACCGCCCCATGCGGTCAGATGTCAGCATTCAAGCCCGAATTTAATGAATAATATCCGAGCCCGTAGGTTCATAAAAATTTCATATACAAATTATAAAATGGGGTCGAGTAAAAAAATTTCCCGAGACGAGAGTCTGTCTTCGACATAGACTTGTCTGTGGATCCTCTCTGCCCGGAAACAGAGTTTGACAGCTGGAGACGAATTTCCATCTGCAGACCAACATACAGTATTTACTACTGTATTTATGTGGATGAGGACATACACATTATCGTCCGTAGGTATGCTACAACATATAAATACATACATACATACACACAAATACACACACACAAACAGATAAACATATATATATTTCATTATTTATTCGAAAATTATAGCATAAATATATTATAAAATCACTAGAAAAATAGCCATTTTGTTTCAACACTTCTGGTGTCTTATCAAGTGATTTGTTGAATGTAAAATAAACAGTTTTCAAATTTTCAAAAATATCAAACATCCCTCGCTATTGTTACTCTTTTAAAAATCTGGAAATATAAATCAAAATACAAGAATGAAATGGGGGAAAAAACTTGACAACGAACTAAAGGTTATAATAATGATTTAATGCTTTAATGTTGGGGAAAGACTAAAATCTTTTTTATTTTTAACTAATAAATAATATATTCCTATAAAATTTTCTTTTTGAAAAAATTACAAATTTAAAATAAACATCTAAAGTGTAAGAATAAAAAATTATGAAAATCTTTAAAAACTGAAGATTAAAATAAGTTGTTTTTTTAATTTATTTTTTTTTCTGAAATTTTGTTGGAATAAACTTTAAGTTCAAAGATTAATTTCTGAACTTAAATTACAACAATTTAATTACATTTAAAAACAAAAATAAATGAAAAAAAAAAATCGTATTTTTTACAATTTAAATTATTTTTAAATAATTTTATAATTTTTAAACTTATATAATTAAATTTAAATTTAAAATTGTTAATTTTAAATTTTAATTTTTTATTTGATAATAGCATTGATATTTATTTAGATGGAAAAACATAAGTTGATGCGTTGTTAAAGCATTAAAAAAGAAAATAATTATTATAAACTTTCCGTTGTCAAGTTTTTGAATTTTGAATAGCATTGTATTTTGATTAGTTATCAAAGCTTATGAAACAGATTTAAAGTATGAGGGATGCAAATCGATTTGAACCTTTAAAACTGTTTATTCTACATTACAACATCAAATGATAAGACTTTTCCATTCGGTAAAATATTCTATTTATAGTGATTTTATAGAATATTAATGTTATAATTTTCGAATAAATAATTATATTCAGAAATAACTGTATTAAAAGCCCTCTTTTAAGAATAGTAATTGTTGGTTATTGAATTTATTAATATACACAAATAATTATATATATATATATATATATATATATATATATATATATATATATATATAAAATCATATTTTTTTAAAAAAATATGATGCTCTATTTTTTTGTATCGAGCACTATTTTTAAAAATAATAACAAAAAATATTAAAAATTTTGGATTATTTACCTAACGAGTTCTTTCCTATTTTCTATATATTTTCACACACATACAATGTGTGTGTGTGTGTGAAAATAAGCGCACATGCAGACATAATTATTTCTACTGAATTGCCTTGAGAATAATTTTAAATATAACTGTAGCCAGTCCCCCAGTAACCGTTAGGCCAATATAATACACTGAAGAAAAAAAAAAACCTTGCAACCCATTATGCCCCACTAGCATTTATAAATAGACGAGCCACCACACTACACACATACTTGAAGATTGCGTTCTCACTCGATATTGACCCCAATGTCCACTTTTATATTTCCACACGCTGTATCCTTGATATTGAACACTTTTACATATAGCATACATTAAAACTATATATATAAATATATATATATATATATATATATATATATATGAAGAAAATTATGTTATATATTATGGGAACTTACCCATAATAATAATGGCCTATTCCTGACATTATAAATGCTGCGCTTCTCAAGAGGTATGAAGACGAGGAGAGATAATTGAGAGCATATTGTAAGGATATTGGAATAGTGATACTTGTCGAGACAACATAGTTCACACTAACCAAATCTGATAGTCATTATTAATACTTGTACTTCTTTATATTATATTCCTGTTGTAATATATCTTTGTATTCCATACCTGTGTTCGTGTTATTCTTTCATTGGTTCTAACCTTGGACCATCACCGTGGTACAAGGAATTTGGACCATAACAATATATATATATGAGAAAAGGCTAAAATGATAACCAACCACGCAACACTGGTTTCGACTCCAAGGTCTTCTCAGGACAGTAAATAGAAGACATTTCTTAAATATGTTAGCTCTTCGATTTTGAATTTTGTATTACGCAATTTTTGTTGTCTATATATTTTAGGCGCGACTGTTTTCAGTCTTCCTTTTATATTTCTATCAGTATACATACATACATACATACATACACATACACACACACACATATATATATATATATATATATATATATATATATATATATATATATATATATATACGTAGTAATTCATCAAGTCTAGAATGATATTCAAAAGAATGCACTGGACGGCCGTTTCGTCCTATTTGGGGATCATCAGCAGTAACATTCACTACCGTGAAATCGAACCCAGACCATTTTCGATACAATACAAACGTCATACCAACCACGGCCTCGGTGGAAAAAAAGACACACTGTAGACTCGATATAGTGCCGATACTCATTCAGTTCCACAGTGATACTCATCGAATTTTGCGGATAACCTCGGAACAGTGCCCCAAGAATGTATATATATATATATTCTCTAAGCCTTTTATTATATATATATATATATATATATATATATATATATATATATATATATATATATATATATATATGTAATAAAAAGGCTTAAACACTAACCAATGGTTCTTTCAAATTGAGTTCTACCTGGATTCTATCCTCTTGGAATTATTATATATATATATATATTTGCTCTAGTTCTTTCTATCATATATATAAAAAATTTTTTTCCCTTTCCCCCTCATTGAATGTTTTTTGTTTTTAAGTTTATGATTAAATATTCCCAGTGTATCAAACTTGAGGAGTACTGGGACGAATGAAGTTGTTTGTTTTAGTTCTTAGTTTTCATAATTATGTCCTTTACATTCCACTTATTCCTTGCCATAATAAAATTTTGTACCTGTAAAATCTTTTCATATATATATATATATATATATATATATATATATATAATTGGTGCAAAAATAATGACGTAATAATGTCGTTTTTGACGTAACGTCAAAAAACGACATTATTACGTCATTATTTTTGCACCAATTAATATATATTATATATATATAATATGTATGTATATATATTTATATATTTTAGATATATGTATATATATGCATGTATGTGTATATTAACCACTAATATCTCTCTATACTCTCTCTATCTCTATATATATATATATATATATATATATATATATATATATACATGAAGGCGATCCTTATAACAGGCCTGGTTTGGACATATGGAATCCTAAATAACAATTACTGAGAACATTTTTAGCAAGGATGTTGTAAGTAATGACCAATAATTAGTAAATTAGCAATATTAGCAAGCAACTTAGAATTATTGACTTATTTCTCTAAATGCAAATGCACAAAGGAAGGACAAAAATAACCTCTTCTTCCATAAAATAATTAAATGCACAAGAATCACTTTATTCACCATCCATTAGAGATTTTTTTTCAGTATATTTTTATTATTAGCATCCCAGTCTGAGGAGACCATAATAGATGATGTTCCTGAAGTGATATAGGCTTGCAGCAGCATCTGCTATGCCTGTACAGGCCGATGTGCAAGTGACCGTTTCTGTTGCAATTGCACAGTTGAAGCAAGAGGCCTTGGTTTGTAAGGATTGTCTCGGGGCAGCTTCTCCGATACCTTGTCTCCACTGCAAGTTAACCCTACCTCACTCCTGTCCACCTCCCCAATGTCCTTACGGACACTATGATACCATGAATCAATGACCTGATCTTTATGAATTGATT